TTAAGCATTTTAAAAGAAGTGTTATGATCAGCACTACTAGTTGGAATGGTTTCTACCCACTTAGTAACGTAATCAACAGCAACTAGAATATGTGTGTATTCATTAGAGGCAGGAAAAGGTGCCATATAATCAAAGCCCCAAACATCAAATGGTTCAATAACAAGAGAATAATTCATAGGCATTTCTTGATGTCTACTAATATTACCAATTCTTTGACATTCATCACAAGACAAGACAAACTTACGAGCATCCTTGAAGAGAGTAGGCCAATAAAAACCAGATTGCAATACCTTATGTGCAGTTCTATCTCCAGCGTAGTGTCCTCCATAAGACTCGGAATGACACTTGCGTAGGATCTGTTCCTGTTCATGCTCAGGTACACAACATTATAATTAGCATCTACTCCTTCATGTTCATAATCAGAGGGGTAATAATATGCATATAGGATCTGAACATATGATCTTCCACCAATTAAACCAACTAGCATCAACTACAAGGAGTAATCAACACTACTAGCAACCTACTAGCACCAATCCCGGACTTTGAGACATGAATTGGATGCAAGAGATGAACTAGGGTTTGGAGATGAGATGGTGCTGGTGAAGATGTTGATGGAGATTGCCCTCTCCCGATGAGAGGAGCGTTGGTGATGATGATGGTGATGATTTCTCCCTCCCGGAGGGAAGTATCCCCGGCAGAACAGCTCTGCCAGAGCTCTAGACTGGATCCGCCAAGGTTCCGCCTCGTGGCGGCGGAGTCTCGTCCCGAAAAGTTCCTTTCTATTTTTTTCTTATCGAAAGACCTCATATAGGAGAAGATGGACGTCGGAGAGCCACCAGGGGGCCCACGAGGTAGGGGCGCGCCCTAGGGGGGGGGGGCGCCCCCACCCTCGTGAGAAGGGTGTGGCCCCCCTGGCCTTCATCTTTGGCGAGGATTTTTCTTTATTTTATTTTAAGATGTTCCGTGAAGTTTCAGGACTTTTGGAGTTGCGCAGAATAGGTCTCTAATATTTGCTCCTTTTCCAGCCCAGAATTCCAGCTGCCGGCATTCTCCCTCCTTATGTAAACCTTATAAAATAAGAGAGAATAGCCATAAGTATTGTGACATAAAGTGAAATAACAGTCCATAATGCGATAAATATCGATATAAAAGCATGATGCAAAATGGATGTATCACTTACCAGGCAATCTGTACCTATAAAGCTTCTGAAGAATAAACGCGCTACCAATCATTAAAGACTTAATTTCAGTCACTAAATGACCATAAACTGACCGGTCCATGCTTGTCTCGGAGAGATAGGAGAGTGCACTCGCTGATCAAGTTAAATTTACTGCTAAAATGTTTGACGACATCGGTGCAGGAATCAAAATCTAGATCATGTTGTTGATCAGTGCCACTGAGCCCCCTCTCGTAATCTCGGGCTTTTCATGTGTGCATGTTACATCTAGTAGTCTACTTTGGTTGCCACACGAAGTTCTAATAAAAATGAGGTACTAAAGTTGTATTAAATCAGCGACACTTGTTTTTGAAATGGGGGGAGTACCTATTAAGTACGATTAAACACTCAGATCAGAAAAACCTAATAATGGCATTACACCCAAAGCACACATGGAATAGATCAGACATAATAATTTACCTTATTATAGGCCAATGCTTGACACATCACCCCTCATGAGATCTACCCAGTAAAATTAACCTTAATAACCCACATAAGTATCGGGAGTATTCTTGAAAGGACATAACACACATAAGAAGTTTCTAAATAATACATTCACTTACTACCTAATAGAGATCTTCTTGCCTGGAGTATATTTGGTCGAATTGGAGAGATAAGATACTAGAAAAACAAATGCAGCTCTTGCAACCAGCACCAACATCAAAATAATGGAACTCAAGGTGATAGATTTCATTGGGCTGCATATGGTATTGAAAATGTGTTACAAAACAAAACTGTTTGTGGATTTGAACAACAAATATGTTACTACACACATGGAAAAAAGCAGATAGAGAGCATACATATATGTTTCACTAATAATCTTCCACTTCTCTATATTTAATGCATCCACGACAACATAGAGAAAGAGAAACGTCTCAGAGACAAATGTGTCCTCATAAGTCAATCTTGTGTAGTTATTATTCATAGAATCCGATTTCATAGGAGGGAATGGGTGAAAAATTCCAATACTTGTCCTATTAGTTTATATTTGAGACTAATAATTACGGAACATATTAAATTAAATCCCCACAAAAAACATATTAAAGAATGATGAATACATTGATGTTGATTGTTTTAATATAGTTGTGTAGATACTAGCATGCCATGCCATTCAGTTTGTCAGAGACATTTCCAGATCACTACATGGATCTAAAATTCTATGTAAGTTACTATAATCACATATTACATTTTGCATCGTTCTACTATATTTTCTTATTATTATTTTAGTCAATGTCCCACTATGCACGAGACCCAAGTCGTCGTGACGATACGAAAACGTTGTTATGCTAGCACAATTGTTTGATAGTTGGTTTGACTGCAATGAGTACCATATCTCAGGATGTGATATGGTCAGATTTGAATTCTTCGTTGCTAAGAGTGGTTTATTTGGTCTTAATGATTGATGTATTTCTAAATGTATGCACCGTTGCAGATTTTATTGTCTCGGAATATTCTTGGGCTATTTCTATCGTTCATCTTGGATCAAAATAAAAAGTTGTCTCTATTTTGGACCCGCTTCCAATACATACTTTCGAGAAGAATATACTTAAAACTATGGTCAACAATCTAAACCTTGCACTCTAAATTGCAAACCTTGAATTGAAGGATGACATCTCTATATGGGTCTAAACCTTGCACTCTAAATTGCAAACCCAGAATTGAATGATGACATCTCTATTTGGGGTTGCAAAGTTCCTGTTGTTCCGACAAACTCATACGGGTATGAATCTGGTCAATGCATCACAATCTTAATTGATTCATTCAACACGCAATGTAAAATTCCATACATGCGGTCTTCTGTCAGGTTATTTGGATTTTAATTTCATGCACTCATGGCATGACGGGCCTACATTTTCCAATACCCAGGGTGAGTATTTACACCATGCTCACATGTATACACGCTGCACATGATTTTTTTATAACAACGTTATATAATGCACATATAGGTTGTTATTCTCTCCATTCGATCCAAATATATGTAGGATGATTTTTGGTTCATATTTTATTATTTTAATAAAGTATGAAGGGATTGAAGCTCTAAATATTATCCCATTCATAGAACAAAGCTTTATAGACAGATCAATAGATGGACCTTCTAAAGAGAATCGTCGTCAAAGAATAAATACTAGATAATGTTTGTTTAGCTGTTGTTTTAAAAACATTTTTGTAATTAATTATACATATATATGATCATGAATTTTACGTGAAGACATTTTTTGAGAGTTTTATGTGAAGACGATGTATCTAGTGCACCCAGACTATTTGTGCTACCGGTGCACCGGTCGTCCGTGGCACATTTAAAAATGTTTGAAAAAATCCAAAACAAAATGAGCACATTCACACAGCATCAATGTACGTTGTCACAAAAATTTAAATCAATATTCGAAACATTGCTCGAGATACAAAAATAACAAATTTGACACTGAATAGTACATAACACAAGTTGGGCTTCAGTTTTGGCCCATTAGCACATTGATGTCAAATTTGTCATTTTTGTATCTTGAGCATTGTTTTGAATTTTGATTCAAATTTTCATGACAACATACATTGTTGTTGTGTCAATAAATTATTTTTTTTTCTAAATAGATCATGTGTTACACGCGCGCTCATTTCGTTTTGCATGAGAAAAAAAGAAAACGCAGCCCACATAACCAAAATAGAGGCCCGTATAAACACTACTCCCAAAACCACAAAAGCCCGACGCGAAACGGGCCGACAAAAGAACACACCGACGCGGGAGGCGGGACACAGGTCACAGAGCGCGGTTGCTCAAAAAAAAAGGTCGACCGTGTAGGCGGCGGCGGCGGGCCGGACCTAGGGCGACGGCAGCGGTGGCGGCGTC